GTAAAAAGAGGTGGGAGAAAACCAGAAGAATGTTTACTTGGGACCAGTCATAAAGCTTGGCTGCTGTTCTCATGCGTAAAATTTGTTCTGTACCCTGAAGGATTTTTGAGTAGGGCAGCGGCCTGATCGGATAAACAAGAAAATGACCAGACCCCTGTGTGTTTTTAGGTGGGGATGCTGGCTTTATTTCCCTGCCTTACATTCTTGGGATGTTTTGGAGTGTTTTTGCAAATGTCCTGTCGGGTGGCATTGTGGTGGTTATTTCTTTAAATGACTTAGCTCTTGCCCTAGTGAAGGGCTTTTTAAAAAAGAGACCATTTTCTGACATTCTGTTTTCTGTAGCTGCTATTAAAGAGGGGTAAAGTCAAGCCAGGCTCTTACAGAACACTTTCAACACAAGACAAGTGGTTTTCTGTGTTTCTGTCACAGTTTTACAGTGAGTCCATTCAGTCCTCAGAACCAAGAAGATAACATGGCACGCTTATTTAATAGTCTGCTATTTGCTCTTCTATTTTGTTCAGTCATTAAACAGTGTTAGAATTGAAAATTAGGGCTCTTTTCTTCGCCAAATGAAAACACAAGTGACTTGTTGACTACAAGATTTACTCTCACAGATACTTCCAGAGTAATATGAAATCCTGGCCAAGTATTCACAGAAAAGAGCTAGTGGTATGTGCCTCAGCCTCTTTTCCTGAATGCAGGCTCCACAGCTGCTACTCCATGCCCAGAAGGACATCATAAATCATTTATAATTTATGAAGAGCCCCGTAGCATACTACACCCTGCTAGTTGCTAATGTCTGTCCTCTGCACACTATGATTTCCCTTCTTCAGTGCATACAGAGACTTTTTCAGATGATGCATAGGACAGAAAGCTGAGAATTTTCCCTTTGACTGGCCCAGCCAAAGAGTAAAGGAGAGAGAAGACAGAAGACTCTTGTTCCTTAAGGTTTTGCCACGGCTTTATTTTGCATTCTCCTAAATTGGAGGCAGGGAAGGGGCAGAAAACAAGACCACTATCATTATTAGCCTATTTTCTTTTATTCATTTATTCAACAAATACACAATTTTTGAGTGCCGACAGCCTCAAGTCACCGTTGGGGACACAGCAGTAAGCCAGAGTTTTGGTTCTCACTGAGATTACATTCACACAGGTCAGGAGGTGGGCTGTGTCATACAGTGAGCATCCTGTGTCGGGGTGTTTTGAAGCAGGTGGGCACATGTGCGGAGTGTCCCTGAGGTGACGCCTGCTCTGTGTGGCACGTTGGACTAGAATGACCTTTTAGATTCATTCCAATGCAAAACCCCTCCAAGCCCATGAAAAAGTGTCCAGTGAATGTGCTCTGCAAACATACAGACACTATGTAAACATGAGGCACATATTTTAAAAGGTGAAGAATGAGATACTTGTACTTCTGAGAGCGGTGGTTGGAATTTTGTGCCCTAACAGCATACCTTCCATGCTCCACCGCCTGCAGTTTGTTCTCATTGGCTCTGTACACAGTTATCTGCATTATGTGTTAAAAGTGCTCTCAGCCAAAGACCAAACAAACAGCCAATGGCATTTTCCTATCAGGGCCTGTTTACAGGAGGTAGAGGAGGGGGACAAAGCTGTGGGTTCTGATTCTTGGCAGGAAGCCAGAGCTGCTGCTTCAAAGCCCCAGAGTTTACAAGGAAGAAAGTGGAGGAATTTTTAGCTGAGACTAAGTTAGAATTAAAGCAACAGAAAACTCAAAACTAAAACTGAAGAATCTGCTGGAATCCATAATAAAAAGGTAGAAAACAGATACAAAAGTGGTATATGTTCCAGGCTCGCAGATTATTATTTTTTTTTTAGTGCAAGAATGAAAATGTTTGAAGGTGCTCAGAGCAGAGAGTACAGAATAGCCTTGATTAATGATACAGAATCACACAGCATTTCAGCTAGACAAGCTGTTCTTAGTGATCATTGGGTCTTGTCCCTTATTTTACAGATAATGAATTAGAGGCCCAGGAACTTGAAGTGACTGCCCAAGGTCACTCACTCAACTAGTTGTAGGAGTTCTGGGACTAGACTCCAGATCTCCTGACAACCATTTTGTGTTTTAGTAACTTTATATAAGGAGCAAACAATTAAAAGTTCTGTTTCATATGAGCAAAGGGTAGACAGGGTAAGAAGAGCAGCCACAAAGACTGCATTCTGAACTGGCAGTGTGTTTGGTTTGCCACAGTGTGGCCTGATCCCCAGGGCCACTGGCACTTGCTGTTGCAATCGCTACCTCCAGCCTCAAGCTGAGGGCAGAAGAGCTGCCAACCTCTGGGCCTGCCCCCAGGAATGGGGGCCAAGACAACTGTTGCAAGTGACCTGGTCCCCTTAGAGTCCAGTTGAGCACGAATGGCTTGTCCAATCCTTGGGAGGCTACAGTGGTCAGGGTCCTTCCAAACCACCTGTGAAATCTCAGCAATGTTCCACCTGTCACTGTGGGTGGTGTTATTTGGCTTCCTAGGCTAAAAGGGTTCTCTCCTCTTTGACAAGAGTTTGAACAAACTGAAACTGTATTTGAATATCAGCACTCTTTTTACATAAAAGAACTCCCCTAGAAGAACTCGTCGCCCAGTTAACTTTGCTCACTGAAATCACTCACCTTTAGGTGAGCTGTTGTTACTTGCTTCTGGAAGGGAGGTGAGGCTTCTGGGTATGTCTCCATTTAAACCCATAAGATGTTCATTGTCATTCTTTTGGCCATTCATTTATTCATTCACTTTCATGTTTGTTTATATTCTGATTCTATCAAAAAAAAAAAAAAAAAAAAACGAAGAGCATACATACTGTGTATAAAATATAAATGAAGCCAGGTTGCAGAGAAGGAGGAGACGGAGATTCCATCCATGAATTGTCATAGAAAATTTATGTTAAGTATCAAGTCTTACTCTAATCTTTCTAGCAACCAGCATAAAGAAGGAATATACAATTCCTAGTTATCAGAAAGGAAAAAAAAAATCCTATTTCTTCAAGAGAGACTAAGTGTTGCTATTCTGGGGCTCATGCCATTAGTTTACACTTACTGAAGCCTTTCGTGTGCTTAATAAACAGCTCACCGCTCAAGGCACACACTCCCACCGCCTCTCTCTCTTCAGTGCCTTTGCGTCAGGCCACCTTGAGTACCAGAGAAGACATGTTCTTATTGTTATCAGGAACTCCCTTTGTATATGTCAGGGCATGGCTTGGGATAATGCACTTCAGTCTGGCTTAAGTTTAACTGAAATTATGTTGTCCAGAGCTCCAGGATTTGCAGATTATGAGGCCAGGGGTAGGAATCTTAGGGAGAGTCAGAAATCTAGTCCGATTCTGGCTGCCCAGTCTGCACAGTGTGTACCTTTCCTTCTCCTCAAAGTGCTCAAAATCCCTGGTCTGGCCCTTCTCTGCTGTGTCAAAGTGCTTTTTTGAGCAGAGCATCTGAAAGAAATACGCAGAACACACTCTGTGGAATGTTGACTCAGAAGGTCAGGACATGACATGACCACATGTTAATTTACACATCTTCTTGGCCCCTGAGAGTGGGGAATGGAGCTAGTGGTTATGTAGACTTGCAGGGCTCAGGAAGTAATATTGTATGCATATAAGGTGAATCCTACTGAGGTCCCAACCCTGAGCTCCTAAGCTCCATTCTGAAGTTGTACTAGGAATTTAGATTTTTACAGAAGAAGGGAGTCAGTGTTGAGATTTCCATCCCTTTACATGCCTTGAGGGCCGGGCTTGGGAAGCGCGGCGGCGCTCCCGCCCGAGGGTTCGGATCCCACATACAGACCGGCTCCCGCTCACTGGTTGAGCGAGGCGCGGGAGCAACACCGAGGCTTGCGATCCCGTTGCCGGTCCCCGGTCCAGTACGGGGGCAACACTGAGGGTTGTGATCCGTTGCCGGACACGGAAAAAAGACAAAAAAAAAAAAAAAAAAAAAAAAAAATACATGCCTTGAAAGCTGCCTATTTAACTCCTTTCTCCATCCTTCTAAGACTTGGGGTT